GGATTATCCACTAACCAGTCTTACCATCACTGTCACTTCTTTATACCTTTATTATGTTCTTATGCTTAGAAAACTTTGCTATTTTTGAAATTTTGAGGATTTTCTGTCGACCAACAGAAACACTCAATGTGGCGAACCTGTGGTGCGCTTGTTACTGTGTTTTCCTTTTAAGACAAAATATGTTAATATCCGAGGTGTTTTTTTTTTTTTTTTCTGAACTAAAATTTTAGCATTCAGTTTTAAGGCAGTGTTGGCACTGGAGAATAAGGAAGTGGGTTTGGGGTTGCCATTTAGCACTCGATCTCTAAAAGGTTCCCCATCCTGGTGTGGCAGTAAATGATAGGGAGCAGAGAAGAGCTTGACTGTGGAGTCTGCTCCTGAGGGGAGAAGACAGTGCTGAGGCCGGAGCTGCGTTTAGCTGCTTGTTAGAACCCCACCTTGCATGAGATCAGCTATCTTTGCTTTCTTGACTTTAGAGCTGCTTCATCTCTACAGATCGTTTCATCCTGCATTACTCTGGGATAATGACTACTGGTAGAAAGTTTTTCCAAACAAGTTGAAAAAACGAGAAAGAGTTCTATATAAGGATCAGTGCCCTAGTGAGTGCTGGCTGGCCCTCTGATTGCACGAGGCTGCTCTAAGGCAGAAGTCCAAAAGGCACTCCTGGATGTTCCGAAAATTCAAAGAGCAAAGGTAATTCAACCTAAGTCTATTAGTGAGTTGTTCTTAGGACTGAAATACCTCTACCTAAAACATAAACTAAAATCCCAATTCATGATACCTCTGAATGTAGCCCTATTTGGAATAGGCCTTTTACAGATCTGATGAGATGAAATCGCACTAGAGAAGGACAAGCCCTTAAAGCAGAATGCAAGTAGCCATGTAAAAGAGAAGTTTGTGTTGGCACAGAAAGTGCCATGCAAAGATGGAGGCCCGGGTTGGATGTACGTGTCCACAGCCTGGAGCTCTGAGGAGCTGGGGGCAGCACAAAGGGGCTTCCCTGGAGGCTACGGGGACAGCAAGACGCTGCCAGCACTTTGATCTCAGATCTCAAGCTACCAGGAGTGAGGAACAATAAATTTACAGTTGTCTTAAGCCACAAAGTTTGTAGTGTTTGTTACTGCAGCCATCTGAAACTAATACAGGGATATTTTACTGAATTAAAGTTACCAAGAGAAACCCACTAATTTCTCCAAACTTATTTTGTGAATTGTCCAAGTAGAGTCACCACTTTTTAGAAATTTTTAGCTACTTTGCCTGGCACAGGGCACAAGAATATGGATAAAAGGACTATGACCTCCTGGTATAGTTGTATCATTGGCAAGCTTAGAAATAGGACCTTCCTTAGGCTGCTTTCAGCGTGGAACAGTTCTTCCCTGAAGCCACTTATGGATTGAGGTCTGATTTTAGTGCATATAGACTTAAAGGAGAAGCTCTGTAGAAGATCTCTCTTCTACAAATGATGAGGCAATCCCCTGGCTAGGAAAGGTTTTATGAATTTAACAACACTGTGTCTATAGATTTTAATTACAGATAATATAAAATAATCCCATATTATTTGATGTGAAGCCTTAATGACCCAAGCATAGAGGTCTTCTATAATTCAAAGTTTAACTTGCTTCAAATAATATATTTATCACAGTAAATTAAATAATAAGTGACCATTGAATGAGATAATATTAACAGAAAAAAGATCGGGTCCACAAGTCACTTAATAAAATAATTTGTATTTCAAAAGGAATGATTCATCAACAAGCTAATTTTTCTCTACTGAACACTTCTACTTATAATATTCAAGGAGACATTTATTCTCTTGTCCTTAAAGATTCTATGTCTTCTGCCTATGACGCAGAAGAATTGTATGGTAAGTCTGATCAAAGCAGAGAGTATCTTCAACTCTGTTTGTAGAATGTACTTTTTCTCAACTGTTTGCATAATACTTCTTCTTAGAGATCTCATCCAAGTTGGGCTAAGCCTCATTTTTAGAGAACATTGTCATTTAAACAACATCCTGACTGACAAACACCAAAGAAGACCTACATTTGTGTGGGTTGAATAAAGACTCCACTTTCATTAATCTCTGCAAATAGAAATACTTGCATTCCGAAAACTACACTTTTGGTTTTGCTCAGAAGAAAGCATTTACAAATATTTATCTAACAGTTTAGATTATTACTTTTGAGAGGCTTACATGACAACTAACTTCTCTGGACTTTGTGTGTTCATCTACCATCCCCACTTGCAGTGTGTATTGCCTGCCATGTGCTGTCAACAGGGACAAAAATCACAGGAACTGTGGTCTGAGGTGGTAGTAATGCCTGCCATCCAGGTAGCCTGGTGCCCACGTGCTTCAGCCACTGGTGACTCAGACATGTCCAGCTTGTTTATAATCCAGGGAGGCAGATGAGCTGGGTGCTTCAGGACAGACTGCTTAAGGCTGAGAATGACTTTGTGGGGTTGCAGACCGATGCTTTGGAAGCAAGAGCTCCTCCTCTCCATAAAGTTTTCCACTTTATTATCTAGTTCCTGGTGTGTTATACATTACTATCAAAGTATAATTATTTCAGGTCACCACAGTAACTTTTATAATTCAGTAAATTTGGACTTGTAACAACAGTTGTGGGTGCAATCATGGTCAAATTTCACCATAAAGGGTGCTAGAGAGGGAAGACTCACTGTCATGCCTAACTTTAAGAGATGAGGGGGAATGGGCCTCTTGTCTGCTGGAAATAGGGCATCGTCAGACACTGCTGAACTACAGAAGGCTTGCCACACATATGAGGACACTATTTTATAATTTGTTTCGAGTTGTGCTAACATTTCAAGTTTTATGGCTGCATTTCTGCTGGGACCTATCGTTGCAGAATCTTTTATGTGATCTATGTACTTAGGAATCTGAGGATGTTTGATAGTTTGTCATTATAGTTGGAAGCTTTGTAGTAATGAACTTTCAGACCTAATAAACTATATCATTTGGGAGGGAATATGTTCATTAACCTATGTCAAGCTACTTGGGCGTTGCCTGTCTAGGACCATCTTCATGAAAATAGAAACTGTGTCTTAGATTATGACACACATGTGAGCTACAACTTTGAACAAAAGCTGGCTAATTATTGTTAGTCCAGCACCCCTCTGGCTGTATAACGCTGGGCTCTCAGTTTAAGTTGGAGAAGGAGAGAAGCTGATTCTCCACATTAAGTAGCCTTTGGGATTTGTGCCATTCTTTTACTACAAGCTGAGATTGCTTTGGTAATCAATTTATTTTTTAAAATTAAAAAAAAAAAACATTTGTTTTCTTTTTCATTTTTTTATGTACTTAGTACAGGGTTGCACTAAGCAGTTTAGAATCACAGTTATCCTCCTGTTTTTAGCTTTCCCAGCTCTGGGATTACAGGGATGCACCACCATGCCTGGACTCTGTTGCTGGCTCTGCGTGCTCCTGGAGCAGGGCCGGCATGACATGGAGGACTATGGTTGGAACCCTGGTCCCTGCACTTGCCAAAGCAGGTGCTTATTCCACTCAGCTATCACGCTGGCCCTCTAAAGAAACATTCTTAAAGCAAAAAGACTTTTGTGTAAATTTACAGTTCTGAAAAATCATTTTTTCAAATTTTGTAGCCATAATTCTTTACTCTCCTTTCAATGTTTAAAAAAAATATTAGTATACATTTGATTGAGTCATACAATTTGTCCTCACTGAGAAGTTTAGTTCTAATTATTTTCCCTTGTCACAAAAGAGAAGACTTTAGGTCAGGTTTTTCATTCTTAGTACTATTGACATTTTGTACTAGATAATTCTTTCTTATTAGGCACATTTTGGGCATTATAGACATCAGAAGTGTCCTTGGATTCTACTATTTAGACACCAGTAAAAAACCTGCTAACTCATGTGATAATCAAAACTGTTCCCAGGGGCCGGGGAGATAGCTCAGTGGAATAAGCGCTTTCCTGGCAAGCCCAAGGGCCTGAGTTCAATTCCTGGTTCCACCAAAAAAAAACAAAACAAAACAAAACAAAAAACAACAACAACAACAACAACAAAAAAAAACTGTTCCCAGATAATGCCAAATGTTCCCTGGGGAGAAAAATTGGTTCTGAGAACCTTCTCTCTACATTATTGATATTGTTGAACAAAGATTTATGAAGATATATTAGTGTATTGTGAATTAAGAATAATTGTATTTTGGTTCGTTGGCTTCAGATTTCAGCTTTGCTAGATTGTGGATGGGAGCCTTTAAAAGCCCAGAGGAAGCCTGCAGGATCAATGTGGTAGAGTAGAAGGAACACCTCCACTGAGGCAGACGCTGGTGAACCTCAGGCGGCTCTCCAGATTCTAAAGCTGCCTGGACAGTTTACTTTGGCAGAGTCCTCAGTGCATGGCCTCAGGCAAGTTACTTAACCTCTTCACCTTCACTTTCTGCTGTTGAAAATTATGATTCCTCAAAGGGTGGTTTCTGAATAATTGCTTTCTCATTGTGCTTAATTCTTCACTTAGAGCACGCAGAGCAAGTGAAACACATAATGCTAATTCTTTTTTTTTTTTTTTTTTTTTCTTTCCCACAGATACTTTCTCCAGTATGATTCTTTCACTGAACATGTTGCTTGCCAAGCAAGGGGGAAAATTCATTGAACTAAATACATTAATCGACAAAATATCTTATTTAACTTGGATTCAAAAAGAATCAGTGCAAGACTCATTTCAAGCATATTTTAAAAATGTCTTAGGGGCTACTTAGAGTGGCAGAAAAATTTTACAAAATCTTAAAACATAGCACTTAAAAGTTTTATTTCTGTTCGATTTGTGTCCAATTAGAGAAGTGGAAAATCCACAACATTTTTTTGCACTAAAACCAGCAGCAAACTTTTATTTTTTTATTTTGTAATTTTATTTCTCCACATCATGTTGAATCAGAGAAATCAATATACTCTTTCTAATTCTAAAGGCATGCTTATTGATCATCAGTTGCTAGATGGTGTGATGTTTTTCAACATATTATTTCATTTGGTCTTTTAAGACACATCCAACGTAGTTATTTCCATTTTTCAGATTAAGGGATCTCAGAAACTTTGAAGAGTAAACATTCGTATTCACACGACCAAAAGTAAATAATCATAGCTCTGCTTGCCTCAGACCAGCGCTTTGTTCAGGGCATAATGTTCCCTGTAGTAATCAAGTGCAAGAGTGAGAAATAAATATTCAAAGAACAGCAGGAGATAAGTTCCTATTAGAAGCAAAGGAAATAAATTGAAAGGAATCTTGAGGAAGGATAGATTCAGATTATGAAGAAGAGAAGACAAAAATGAACAGAAGAATGAGAGAGAGGGTGGAATCAGAGGCATGGGATAATAGACAAATCATAATGTTCATTAGATTAAAGGAATCATCTTGATTTTGAATTCAATAGAGACCTCTCCAACATCTACTTAGTTTTCTATGTTTAAATACAGGATTATAAATGATACCTTCCTGCATACCAAGAGTTTACTTATGGGAAATGGAACTTTCCTTTGATATAGAGACAAGCTTCTTAATCATCAGATAGTTCTAGCTTTTGGACATTTATAGAACCAGAGAATTACACTGTAAAGCTTCTGTTGAGTCCAGGAATGCTCGATGGCCATTTTGTCTCAGTAAGAACCATAAATCTTGGATCATAGATTTTGGATAGAAAAGACCTCTGAGACACTCAGGTGGATTTTCTTGCCAGGGCAGCAGAAGGGATAAGCACTATTATACAGGGACTTTGAAGACCATTCTTCAGCAGGGACTGCTTAGCAAGCTTAACACTTCAGACTGTATCTGTCAAGGGAAGATTAAGTATGTCTTAAGTCCTTTCATAGCTTGGCTCCCATTTACCCATCAGATCTGTCTTCCCTTTAGATTTGTAGGAAACACTCTCTCAAGAATGGGTCAGAGAACAGTAGATTTCATTTTTTTGAATATCCAGGCACTATTCACAGAAGATACTAGGCAGGGTTTAACACTGACTTTGGAATTCTGATGATTCATTAATGGCTTATCAATAGATACAGAACCTTTGTAAGAGAACCCAGAAAATTGTATTTTCAGGTAATTATCTCACTTGTTTTAATTACTTGCAACTAGTTGTAATATTTTTAAAAATTATATACTGTCTCTTTATGGCCTAAATCAACCTGGGAGTTGTTAGTTTACCACCTCTTGTGACAAACAGACATCCTGGCTAGAGCTATTCCACTATGGGAAAAGCAAAAGCAAGAATGACGTTCAGGTCAAACTACCCTAGGCATTAATGACTGTGTGTCTTTGGGATAGTTACTTTTCATCATCCTCTGTTTCATTACTGAAAAAATAAGGTAATGAGATCTCACTGGGTTGTTATGAAGAGTAAACAAAACAGTCCACATAGCTCACGAAGGGGGAAATGAAGTTAGAACAGTGCCTGTGTTCATTGTCCCAAGAGGTCTAGTGATGCCTAGTTTTTATCAAAGAGTAATCAAATATTGTTTGGGCAACTGAAATAATGTGATGCCTATGCAAGCTTTTGGTAAAGATGAAGCTTGTAGAAAGAAACATATTAAGAGAATGTAGAAAGAGTTGGGGATTGTGGAGTCCTGATTAGAGAATTAAGTCAACTTTGCCTAAAATTAAATCATGTTTCCCACTCTTTGCTTGCATCAGAGACCCCAGGTTGCAAAACTTTTGCCTCATTGCCTGCCCTCTTTAGCAGTTTAGGGTTTGATGGATGATCCTACAGAACACTGCCCCAAACCACCACTGTGCCAACCACATGGCGTGTCATTGACTCTGACAACAAGTCGAGCTTCTCTTCCCAGGGGTAGCAGCCAATCCTCCATCCTCCTCTGCAGCCCTTGTTTGCACTGCTGCTGTTGGGCCACCCCTGAACTTGAGGGAAGCTAGTGCCATCTGATCTTCCTTTGTCTGGCTGTGACTGGATGGCTTGGAGGATTGTGAGGGGCGCTGTGTCACTTAATTGTACAGGCACGTGATACAAGTACAATTTTCTTGAAATTCACCTGACCCAAAGCTCTATGGGCAGATCTTCTTCCAGGTTCAGGGTCCAGCTTCAAAATAATGAAAACTGGAGTAAAATACAGATGACATGTTTAAAATGAGTTCTTTGATTTCATGACACCCCAACACTTAAGGTACCATAGTCACAGGACTTGATTTGACCATGTGTTTTGAAAGGATACTGTCAGCATATACATGTATTAAAACACATTTTGCTGCCATATTATACAAGTCAGGCATGCTATATACTATCTAGAAAGCTCATATATTACTTAGAAGAAAATAAAATAAAATCCAATGTACATGAATTTCAAATCTATTTTGGTTATGTGAAAAAGATGACCCCTAAAATCACCGACATGTAGCTTTCCTTAGTGCCTGTGGTCTGTATCTAATATTTAATTCCCCTCGAAGCCTCACGCGCCCACAGCCGGAACATTTGGGAGGTGAGCGCACCATGGTGTGTGACTCGCTTTGCTGGACGCGTCCACGGATGAGTTCACAACACTGTGTTGCTGGGAGATGAGGCCTGACTGGAGGCAGCAGGGCACCAGGGCTTGGCCCTGCCTCCTTCCCGATCTCCCTCCCTGTTTCCTGACTGCCTTTCCACGAGCAAGCCTCCTCTGCCACTCCCTGCCGGGCAGCCAGCTTCCTGCCTGTCTGTGGACTGGACCTTCTACAGACTGTGTACCAATGTGCACACATCAGGTGTTTTTGTCCCAGTGGCCAGAAAGTAACTAAGATGGTACCAGATTTCAGTTTTCTGGAAAGCAAGCAGACCAATTTACAAGTTTTAAAATAAAATTGAAAGTAAGATTCATACTTAGATTTAAACTGTTTTCAAGGAGCTTCCTTAATGCTAAACTTGAATCACTGACCATATCCACATTTCAATTCATCCAGTGCTGATTGCCTCCAGAACTTTCTTGAACAGCCTATTTTAATGCTTTGATCTGTTGTATTTTAAAATCTATCGCGTCCTTTAAGGTTACCAAGTATGGATCGACTCACAAAATTTCAAGCAAATCTGACTTTATTGAGTGCGGGTTTCCAATACTTAGTTTCGGAATGTTCTTAGCCTAGAACATTCTGTCAGTTATAATGTGATATTGAGGTACAGTGAACACTGCTTATTTGGCAAACTGTCTAAGTGACTTTCCTAGAAAAAGTAGCTATTTTGTTGCAGAAGAGGAAGACAGTTCTTCCAAAGTCAGTTGAAGTAAGCAGGCTTTGTTAATAAATATAATTCCTCCATACAGAATAAAATTGAGAAAATACTGAAAAGACACCTTCACATGTCTTCAAGAATTGGCTTTAATTTGTATATCATATCACCTTAATGACCCAGGTTTAATAACACTTGTGATTTTAAAATTTGCAAAGACGATGCTTCTATGAGACCCATGAAAAAGAACAAAAAAATAAATAAATAAAATAAAGACCAATTTTACTACTATAAACTGCCTGAATTTGCTATTATCAAGTCATACATAATTTTAGGAAGCAAAGTCCATTATGAACTTGAACTTTGTATATTGAAATGAAAAATCTTAGTTGATGACACATTAGGGAAGATAAAACTCCATTTTCCTCTCCCAAAACAAATGTACACTTCTCTCCCAACTTACTTGGCTATTATGTTTTATGGTAGAGTTGAAGTACTTCAAGTTACAATAACAAAGTCAAACCCAAGGTCTTCGCAGTGCAGCTGGGGGAAATGCCAGGCATAGCAGCATGTGGTTCTTGTCAGGTACAACTCCATCAGTTCCTTAAGCAAGAGAACAGTTTGCAGAACATGCTGTATGGAAGCAGAGCAAACTCTTTGTGTATAATACTGAATTATATTCCTTGGCACATTGTGCTTTTGTCTTTTATAAAGCACTAAAACACAAGTTGGCAGGACTAAAAATGAGGGGCAAATCTTAGAATGGCTTCTACCTGATCAGCCAATATTATGAGAGAATGGGGGGGGGTGCATCATGGATAAATACGCAGTGCATTGCTTACTGCAAATACAACCATGTGAGCTTCTCCCTTTGCAGCCAAGGCACCGCAGGCTCAGCCAGTTGTCAAGATCCACCCCCAAGTTCCCGCCGTGCATTTTCATTATGTTGCTGTCAAACTCTGTAGCTCATCCAACAATGCGGGCTCATTATTTCGGAATTGGTTATACAAGGTTTAAGTATCTGTGTCACAATCAAGTAGAGGATCAGAGCTTCTCCAGGGAGGTAATCTGAATCATTTGTCAATCAAACCTCCATTTATTTGAGGTTTATGAGTGAAAAGTCATATTTAGAAACCCAGCATTGCTTTCTGTTGTCAGAGCTTCCTTAGACCTTGTTTGTGAAAGCAGAAAACATCAGTTTTGACCCAGAAGGCTGTTTACTTATTCTTAAAATGCGAATTATACTTTTTTTTTTTAAAGTTGTTTTTCTTCTATTGATTTTAGGCAGCTTCTTGACAGCTGTCCTGGACAAATGGAAGCCTAGTGTGTTAACCAAAAGTGTCCACTGAGAAGTAAACTTGAAAGCTGCCTATTTGGCTAATGTTGATTATTTTCAGTGTGTCTCGAATGTGTTGGATAGTATGGATCACACACGCAATGGCCAAACACAAAGCTGTCATCATAATTATAATTATCTGAGAGAAACTCTTTTTAAAATGATCATTCCTAAGAAGCTCAAAAAACAACCAAATGGATATATACATATAAGCAAGCTGAAATGCTTACAATTATTATTAAAGCAACCTACAGCATGAGCTAACTCTAAAAGCAGTTGAACACAAAGATGACTGTAGGAGCAAGGTGAGAAGCAACTGTGTTGGCATGGTCGTGACCAGAGCATGAGGCCTGGCTGAGGCGGATATGGACATCTGCTTTGCTTTGCTAATCTGAGGAGAGCTGCTATGGCTGGCTCAGTCCCGTAAATTCAGAGCCTCTGAGAGAAGGTGCATTCCAGGGTACTTTATTTCTCTTCAAGTGTACTTTTAGACACTTAGAAGTGTGCTTAGAGTTTCTGATCACTTTAGATCCTTAAAATTCTCCTCTGCACTTACAAAAGAAAAGTTCTAGAAGAGAACCTTGAACTAGATTTTATCTAATGATGAGGCTTGTAAAACTGTCCCAGATAATTCCTCAGTATTTACTAAGCTAAGGCATGGATTCTCAATAATCTGTAGCTAGGTCCCTTTCTTTCACTATTTAGCATCTTAAACCATTATGTTAGACATACTGTGTAGTCAGAAAAATCACCATTTATGTATCCTGAACAATAAATAAGTGCTTAGCAATAGATATTTCAACTGATGCATTAACATAATGGAAGCAGATTTTTTTTTTTTTTTGTATAAAAGTCATTAATTGATGCAGCTGAGAATTACTGGAAAGAGATGTGGCTGAGGGCATCCAGCAGCTCTGACCTGAAAAAGTTTCTTCTATGAAATTCCACTGTAACCTTGGCCATCAACTAGCCTTAGTTTTCTCTCTGTAGTGTTTATTTTTCTCATCTAATAAATTTTAATTTGCAACATTGACCAGGATGAAAGCAGTAACATGCATTAACACCAAGCATACAATGAACTCTCTGAGCAACAATTGTGTGCATGTACTACCTAAGAAGACAAAATTATAAATCGGAAATATCTATACATGGATCCTGAATCTGCCGGGTTTTGCTCTGTCCTTGAAGTAGTTAACCTGTCTGTGTCTCAGTTTGTTCTCCAATCAAAGAGGAATAGTAGTAATAACCAAGAGCTTTTACAAGGGTTAAATGAATTCCTGTATCTAAAGTTCACAGAATAAGGCACAGGGCCTGGGGGTTGGGCCTGCTGAGAAGGCAATTGAGACTGGGAGTGGAGGCACTCACCTATAAGCCCAGCTCTTGGGCTGCTGTAAACAGGAGAATCACGAGTCCAATCTAGTAGTGAGACCCTGAACACCCTGTAGACACTTCCCTAAAATACAAAAATACAAAATTAAAATTAAAAAATTAAAAAATGAATGAATAAATAAATAAATAAATAAATAAAATAAAGTTCACAGAATAGAATCTGGAAAGCAGTACTGAAGGCTCCAACGCGGAGCACCAAAACAAACATTATACCATTATAAGTCAAGCATCTTGAGTGTTTCTCACCTTAACCAAAGTCAACTAACATATTTATTTTAATTAAACATTACAGCTTTCAACCTGGGAAGGACAAGCTGATCTAGCAGCAGGCGAGAGTCCCCAGATGCTCATAATCATACGTGGTACAATCTGGAACCTTCCTGTACCAAGAATAGGAGTTGGATGCTACACCCAAAATGTCAACCATGTGCACAGGAGGCACGGTTATAGTGTCAAATGTTGGTGACAAGAGGATCATTTCTAGTTATCTAATTTTTTTCCATTTTAGATTTTTTGTTACTGGAATTAATTTTTCTAACAAAATTTTATTTCACTAGGATATATAGACATATGTATAAATATAAATATTATATATAAATCCATATATATATATATATATACACACACACATATATAAATACATCTGTTCTTTACAGATAGTACCGTAAAAATGCATTGGAGGTCTGTTGCAAGTCAGCTGCTATCTCGCCTTGATGGAGAATAGTATCTTATTGTGGAAGGAAACAAGGCAGAAGTGAAGAAACAAAATATGATTGGAGTTTTGTAGCTCCTAAGAAAGCTAGATGAAAGGAACCCCTCTTGGACCTGTCCTTTTGGCTAAAAGTTGAAAGATAGGAAGGTTTCAGTGATGTGAACCAGAGGAAAAGAACTAGAGGCGAGTGCTCTGGCGGAAAGGAAAGTGAAGACATTGGCAGTCTGGGGAAAGTGTAAAGACAGCTCTGGCTGGACTGTGGTGGGCCCAGCAAGCAGCAGGACGTGAAGTCTGCACCATTAGGAGGGGGCTGCTGCCAGGCTTCAGGGGACCATGGCACAAAGAGCAAGTTTACTTAGGATAAATGGGACTCCAAGGAAGAGTTTTGTGCTCTTGTACAAGTAGGATAACGTGATTCAGTTCATGTTATTAAAAATAATTGTCTCATCTACCGGTCAAACAGTTGATTGAGCTGAACATGATGGAAGTCAGAAGTCTCCTAACTTCTCTGTTCAGTTGGCACAGACAGGAAATTTTGTTCTGGGTAAGAGCTGTTGCAGGATGGGTGAAAAGAAAGAAGTCATAGGAAAGACATTTCTCACAGGATGCTGCTGTGCCACATCCAGAGCTCGCTGTAACCTAATTTCACTTCCTCTGTAATTTTCTGTCCTACCCTACATAAAAGATATCAGGGAACATATCCCTTCCTTGAAAAATGTCCGTAACACTTGTCACAGGGTGGCTGATTACAACACTCGGGGGCAAGGCCTTTGTCTGTGTTATCCAGTGCTGTGCCTCAAATCTTGCAGAAAACCTGGCATGCAATTCTAACTTAGCACTTGTTGAATGAGGGAAAGCAATGAGTGGAACGTTATGTGCAAGAAAGGAAATCTTCCGTTTCCAGAGAGACTATAGGAAATGAAAAGATAAAGTAATAAACTGTTCACATATGTTACTCAGTTTGTTGAGACAGAAATTTGAGAGACAGAGGTGGGAAGGTCATCTGGAATCAGCAAGCGTCTGCTTCTCCCTGAAGTGTCCCTCTCTTCCCTTCATGCTGTACTGCTGACAAGTCAAAATGTAACAAATAAATGCACTCACAGTGCCACCTGCTTCCATTCTGCACCACTCCTGGAAAATCAGTCAAGTCCACAAGATCAGAAAGTGGCCTCTTGTTAAAAGCACTTAACACCTCATTTCTCCCTTGGTGTAATCCCCTCATGCAATTGCGTGCTCAGGCCTGCCCTGTTACACCTAATACAGGAAAAGCCAAGCCAGGGGGCTGCAGAGAGCCTACTCCTGAAGACCCAGGAGATAATACTGAGGAAAAAGCTCCTCACAGCAAGGCAATGGCGGTGCTTTGAGGAACACGGAGGACATGCTTTTCTTTGTGCCAGCTGCCTTGATAGAGGCTTTCCCTTACTGACTATTAAGCCATAGACTTGGAAGAGCCTACAGTAAGAGTGAGGAGTCTTAAATGCTAGCAATACATTTAGCTCTCAAGTCCTTACCTTCAAGATGGCAAAAGCAAGTAAGCCTACTCACCACTGCTGAGGATTTAAGGGCTCCTGTGTGCACTGTTTACACCCATCTGATAGGTTACTCCAGAGAACTCACATGAATGATTTATTTTTCACTAAATGATTAGTAGTTTGAGTTAGGCAAAAATGGCTTATCATTTTTGTGCTATGTAAACAGAAAATTTGTGAGTTAAGGATCAATAATCAGTATGAAAAGATAGATCAGTTGGAGTGTTTGAAAAAGCTCAATGGGAAGAGAATGTATAAAGAGAATTCATGTTATCTCCCTGTCCTGAAAAAAAAAAAAGAAAAAGAAAAAGTAAAAGAAAACAGCCAAACAGAAATTCCTACTTGGGGTCAGAACCCTGAAGAATGAAAGAGACATGTGCAGTAATGCACACAGAAACCCCCACCTGGAAATGATTCCATTTTCTTTAACAGGAGCATGGGTAAATGCCATACTAAAGAGAATTATTCAGTGCAGAAAAAATATTGGAGTGGTATGTGATGTTAGGGATACATTTTGGTAATATGTTATTAAAGTAGAAAGTTAAAATAGATGAAAGTTTTAAATATCCATTTGAGGAGTCTATAGCTGCGTCTGCCCCTGTCATAACCCTATGTAAGGACAGCAGGAAGGGGTGGGTTGAGGAGGGCAGTGGCCTTGCTTTGCATGGAGGAAGAGTACAAGATGGAGCCAGAGGAACCCAAGGCTAAATTCAGATTACTGTCTCATTTCAGCTTGGGATTTGTGCTGTGGAATTTGTGGGTTAAAAATTCTAGTCCTTATTAGGAAAGAAGAGAAAAGGGAAGGGAAGAAGGGAGAGAGGAGAAGGAGAAAGGACAGGAGGTCTTTCTGTCTATCACTTTCAAGTACGCACCCTGAGGAATACGAATGATCCAGGCTCGTGTGGCTGAGTAAAAGGAAAGATGCAGAGAAATACAGAGGGGTGAGGAAGGGAGAAGGAGGGGAGGGAGGAGTGAGAAGAGCCCCAAACTGAAGTCTCTTTCTAGGTTCATCTGAGGGATTTTCCTGACCCATTCATGTATTCATCTGTGTATTTTATGAGTTATAGCTCCAATTTTGAGAAAATATTTTAAATATCCAAACCAAAATCATTTTGTAAAACTTGGTGATATCCTGTGAGCCCCTTTCCTGTACCCATGTACCATGTCCCACACATTCTGCCTTCTCGAATCTCTCATTGTCACCTATCATTCCTCATCTCTTTTGTCAGGAGCCAGTATCTTTAACCATTTTATTGGCTTCCAGTTCCTGCTACTTGCTTGTACTCAAAAGTGTGCCCACAGTTTTCTCTCTAATGTAAAATCATGAAGCATGCCCTGCTCAAATCCCTTCATTAAAGTATACAATGAAGTTAAATATCTTAAAATCATAGATGTATTTCATGTAATAGGATCAGCTATTGCCCTACTCTAACAGCAGTTAATCTCCCCTAAAAGAACTTGGTTACTTGTGTTGTCACATTGCTTTTCTTTTCGTCTTCCATTTGGTATGCTTTTCTCTCTGCTGTGTTGACCCAGCTCAGGGTCTGATAGTCAATCAATGCTCAATAAGTATGTCTGATATGAATAAACATGTTAAAAAAGATTACTACATAGTTAACTTGCGTCATGAATAAAAATGTTTCCCCAGCACTGGAGATTAAAATCAGGGCTTTACCACTGAGTTATAGTTTTAGCCCATTTGTGTGTTTATTCATTAGTTTATTGAGTTTTTTTTTTCAGCTTGTTTATTTTGTGACAGGGTCATATTAATTCAACAAACTTCTCATGCTGTCCTTGAACTTGTGGTCTCAGCCTCCTAGGCTGCTGAGATTTTTTTTTTTTTTTTTTTTTTTGGTGGAACTGGGGGTTGAACTCAGGCCCTTGCACTTGCCAGGGAAGTGCTTATTCTACTGAGCCATCTCCCCAGCCGCACTGCTGCGATTATAGATGTTCACCTCATCCTGGCTTGTGTACCCCACACTGGCTGGTATACCACTGGTTTGTCCTACCTTATATTACTCATTCAGTTTTCTTATTTATTTCTATATGTAATTCTGATACTACTTTTCTTCTTCTTCAAAGAAAATTCTGTTGAAGGTTGAAGTCAACAGGATATATTAAAGTTACTTTTAAAAAACTGCCTGTAAGTAGCTACATTATATTTTTTTTAAAATAGAAAATCTCTTTTAATTTAATATCCTATCTATATCAAACTTAACAATGGCTTAAGTTATTGTATTTTCTTTATTAAGTCAAAGTACAGTATTATATTATTTAAATCTGGAATCCAAAGAAATAGAAATAATGTATTCAAAGAAATTGCATTAAATATATCTGTTTGAAAAATGCTATCCAGAGAATTTTAATGCTATCAAACTTCAATAAAAGCAACTATAGCACCAATAAAATTACAGCAAGGAAAATGCAAAGAGACACAATTACTTTAAAAGACAGGAAATCCAAGCCACTATGTTGTGGTTATATGTGTTCAGCACTTGGCTGCTAAGAATGTGGGTGAAGGCCTCCGCGCAAATGCAGATCCCTGACCCCGCAGCTACAGCTTCCTCGGGGACCCAGTGCTTCAGAGGATCCTGAGCTAGTCAGGCTTCTGTGAGCTACAGGAAAGGGGAAGAGGGCTACTGGGAAAATCTGAACTCAAACTATTTTAGCCAATATGTATTTATTGTGTTCATTTCCTTTCTTAACCCCTTGAGAATTTTTTTGATTGATAGAGCTGCCATCCAGAGTTCGTAGGCTCTTTCCCACAGACTGGAGAGGGATTTGGATGGGATGAAAATTCCAAGTCTTAGTCCACATTTTCAGCTTTCTTCCCAAAGAGGCTGTGCTTCTGACTTATGAAGTTCATGTTCCTAATTCACATTATTTTTTCCCAAGTTCCCACCATTCCTTTAATTTTCTCTAAAGAGATCAAGTTAATTATGGTCTTCAGCATAGTCGTGGTCTGCTGCATTACCATGCTTGAGTTTTTAGGCACCTTCTTGTTACTTCAGCTTCTGGAGTCTTTGCTTTGCTGCTACAATTCTTGAGCAAGATTTTCTAGATTTTTCTGAATCTGCATCTATCCATTCAAATTGTACATTCTTTTCTCCTGACATTGCTGTTCCTTCTTCAGAGATGCTTTTCAAATTTTTTTTCTTTGCATCAGTCTCCTGAAACCAAAGGGATCTTGATTGATCCCTTTTTGTTCTTGGCATCTCTCTACAGAACTGTTAACTATTATTGAGGGAGTGATGTACCAGCAGCAGCAGCACATGAAATGAATGGGGGTAAATGTTCTGTCCCTTTTCAAAGCTGTATTCTGCACTGGAATTCTTTCTAGACTTATTATTAAGTCTTCCAGATGCACAATTTATCACTTTAAGGGACCAGCCTCTCCCACAGGTGACTGCAATTCTTCATAGGCATTGCTAATTAGTCCAATCTCTTCCAAATTTGTGAACAAGATTTTTCCTTGTGGACAGAAAATCTTCTGGTTCTGACTTCCCTCCTTTAAGTACATTGGTTCTTTACAACAACAACTCTAGTAGTGCATACCAGCATCTCCCTGGGAAATTCAGGAAACCTGAGACTTGTTGCATTTAGACAGTACCTGAAAAGCATCCCATAACTGCTCTGGAATCCACTAGCAAGACAATTTTGAGACAAACAGCAGGCTTCCTGCAGCTCCAAAGGGCACCAGTGTGCTACCTTTGGTTATAAGTAACCTATGGGCCATGACTTACTGTACAGAAGGATCCTTGAACAGTCTAACTTTCATGTAAGCAAGTATATTGCAAGTGAGATAGATCATCCCCCGGGTGCAAGTGGAAACAGAATGAGGTTGGAAGCTGAGGTGGGGATCTACTATGTACGATACAGTACTTTCTAATTTTCCTTACCCACTGCACACACAGAAAGCAATATTACTTATGTAGAGCATTTGGGGAAGGAGAAAGGGATGATGGCAGCCAGAGCCAGGCTGGAGCTTGTGTCACCTAATATTTCACTTGGCCCCACAGCACTTCTAGAAGGCAAAGCAGAGCCACCCCATGCCCCTTCTCTTCACACACATTGGGCTGTAAAAGGAGACCTTGTGGGCTTGCTGCAGGAGTGGGCTTGTACTCCTGCAACCCCTTGGGGAAGACAATATCCTTGTCTTAAAGTTTGTTCTATGGCAGAGCAATCTTCTTCTACCCAGACATTTTATAAGATGCCCTGCAGTCAAGTTTTCCATTATCCTTCCTGTTTGCCCAATGTAGGCAGGCAGGGGAGAATACTGAAGGGTCTCACCAAAGACTAGGAAAACTCTACTTGAGTCATAGAATCTTATGTAATATCAGTTTGAGCAGCAAAGCCTTAAGCTTGTGTGGATTTTCTGGGGAGCTACTTTGTCTTCATTCATTCTATGTGTTGAGAAATGGGAGTTACTCTCCTCTGGGTGTGTCCTCGCCTCATACAGCACGTGCTCCCCAGGGTTGCTCTGGGATTGGTCTCGAACCCGTAAAGCCATCTCCAGGACTCTGCCTCTGTAGAGATCAGCTCTTTCTTTGGCTAACTTCACCAGCTCTTGTTTCTTTAAATCTCCTAGTGTTTCTCTAAGACACTCAAGTTTCAAGCCCCTTTACCTATTGCCTGGGACTCTGCCACTTCCTCAGGGTGGCTTCCAGGGATTCCAGTCTGTTTGGTGTCCCAATTAGAAAAAAAAAAAAAAAGCCCTCAGAGTGTCTGCCAGGCGGGTTCACTCTCAGGTTTCCCTCTGCTGCAAGTAACTATAGGCCAAGCTGAGAATATTTGCTGAGCACATTCACTGCTCTTGCTACTAAAACAAAAGGCCTATTACCCAAGCAACCCAGAAATGCGCGCAGCTGCACCCTGCTAGAAAGGAGAAAGTACAGCAATACCAACATGTTCCTCTTCGAAGACATTCCAGCAGGCAGGCCTCAGGGCACCGTGACTCAAAGTAGCATTTTCAACCAGAAACTTCTGGAACACACACAAGTGAAGGTTACTGGACCACCAGAACTACTTGGAGGAGGTTGCAGAACCCGTGGCCTGGTGATAATAGTCTTTGGAAGAACATTTTAACTGTTTATTTCGTAATGTTGGTTAGTTGTGGGTGGCAGCTCTGAAATCCAGAGGGCGTGCCAGAGACAGGTAAGAGTTGTAGACCTGAGTCTGAAATACACAGGGCAGACAAGTAGTGTGGACATTCAAGCAAAGTTTTTCGGTTACACTAGATAGGTAGAATTTCTTTTCGCTTATATAATTTTATTTTAAATGTACTGGAAAGAAGCAGTTTCAAAAGAAAACCAAGGTACAAACTGTTACAGGAAAGCGCATGCAGAGTAAACTGGGGAAAAGGTCTATGTTCTTTACTGGCAGAGGAGAACTACAATGAATTGACCCTCCCTCCATAAATAAAATATTATTTAAACATCCCCCCAACACACACATACACACACACATGAAGAAATATCCTTTGAAGGGACTGACAGATAATTAGCCCTCAGAGAATACACCCAAAGTGTAACACAGAAAATAAAAGAGAGCAAATCCTCTCCTTCACCCATCTGGAAGCATGGGTTAGCTAAGGGAAGGCCTTGGACATTGCACCAGGATCAGCACACAAAGTACCTCTATGAAAAACGGAAAACGACTATGATTTTCAATCTTGCGTTTTGTCTGAGAAGTGAAGATTGCTCTATGTACTGATTTTGGGAGTCATCACTCTGCAGCATACCTCAGGGGACCCGAGCAGAAGGATTTCCCAACACAATGTAATTTTGACAAAGCATTTGCTCTGACGCAGAAACTATTGACCTGCTCGCCTCCAAGGCCCTGTTTGAGGAGATTTCCTGCAAGGAATTAGGTCAAGGAAAGTTTTTATTGCTGCATACATTATTTTGTATCACCACATTGCTTTTTGTCTTGCTTGAAAATGCTGTCAAAAAAATACTCCTTGTCGCTAGCTGGAACGGCATTCCCTGCCTTGACGTGAGCTTCTTTGTATGAAGAAGTTTGCCTGTCAAGAGATTTTGTTATTTCAGCAGCCTTCAAACATGGAATAAATAAATTTCCACTGGGTTGGCATTTCCTCTCATTTCCTGAAGGAGGGGCTGATTGTTCTCACAGCTCCCTGGGGACATTTCAGCCTCCTTTGAAATGACTGAAGTGACAGATGTCACTCCCTTATGCTCGCAAGTTACATTGAAGAAAACCAAAGGAAGGTCATGTTAGCATCAGTGTGGATGTTCGAATTGTCCAAAAGGGAAATTTCTGGAACAATCAAGTGGAGTCACAGAAATCAGTAGATAAAGTTTGAAGCTGTTGCTACTCTTGGGCAATCTATGGTTTCGACAGTATGCATCTGCAGAAAAATAAAGAGTTGGTTACTTCTGAACAGAATGACAACAGTGTGCCTTTCAACATAAAGAGCGGATAGTTCTGCCTGAGAGAGGACAAGAACTATTAATCAGATAAGTCTTGCAAAGATAATAGATGTATCTGAGAGATGATTGCTTCTTTTCATTGCTATGCATTACAATTAGATTTGAGTGCATATGAAAGGGAAATAAGCGAAGCGACCAAAGCTGTGCTTCTACCCACTCAAAATGATTGAGTGATTATGCAAAAGAAAATTCCTCACAAGTGCAGGATGATCATATCAATTGCTTCTAGTCTTGGAATAAGGAACTATAATTTAACACTCATTTAAATTGATATTTGTCTCAATAATAATGCATTGCTCATTTTGTAAATGAACCCCATATTACTGGTCAACTTACCAGACTTACCCAGCAACCAAATTTCAGGGATTTAATCATAACTGAGAAGTTATCAAGGTAAAGCCCAAACCATACATATAAATTATCTTAAGAATTCAGCGGGTTTGTCTAAAACAGCAATACTGTTGGAATTATTTTTAACACAATTTTATAAAACACATCTTTTATAAGTGCTCCAAATTAATGCTCTCCTCTAATCAAGGAGAAAAACAGTGAAAGAAAAAGTCTCAGAGTGGGGTGAATTCCACCTATCCCCTTCCAAAGTTTAGCTTCTTTAGATCTAAAAATTTATCATTGGTGAATGCAACTTTTCTCCTATCAAATTAAATATTGTTTTATTTCTTTTCTCACATCCACATTGCTCAAAGATATTATAGAGTATATAGAAATATAGAACATATTTGCATATAGGAAATATGCAAAGGTTAAACTAAAAAGCAAATTAAATAATATTTTAAAAATGCAGGCAGAGGAGTGAGACTACCTGAGTAAGATTTTTGTTTTTCTTAAACTCAGTTGCACCACTTTTTCATTGGATAGAATATGGGTAAAAGCATACCTAGTTCAGAGAATAATTGTAAAGACTATGCAAATTAGTAAAGCCCTTAAAATAGTGCTTTGGCATGTGATATAAATTCAACAAAAACTTTATCAGCGGTGATTACAATAGTAATGAGCAGCAAGATGTTTTGTTAAATATCTCAGTGGATGTAGATATCTAGATAAAACCTAATGGGATTATTGTGGGATAAAACAGGTAGGTAAATGAAAATAATATAAAGATAAGAAAATTATGAAGGCTTGATTGTATATCAGGTTTAAAGTATCATTAATGCAAACACAGTGACCTTTGATAATCTATTCATTGTAATAAAAATTTTAATGAATACATTATAGTTGATTTCAGTGAAATGCCTAATACCTACCTAGAAATTAATTAGTGAGCAAGAATACCTCCCAAATGACCTTTAAAATGAATGTAGATATTTTAATAATGAAGTTTTATAGATTTTTTTTAAAAACTCAACACATTACCTTTGTTGTTTGTGATGGTTTAGTTTCATATCTTTTTTTTTTCTCAGTTAAACCTTTTATTTTTTTGCCTTTCAGACATAGGTTTTAACTATGAAGTTGAGGCTGGCATTGAACTCACAGTGATGCTCCTGCCTCAGTCTTCTGAGTGCTGGGATCAGAACCTGTACCACCAGGCCTGGCCAAGTAAGCATGTTTTTATCACTTCCTGCCCCTTTCCACACATCAACCAACTGCTGATGCTTGCTGGGACCGACTGTAGAATTATCACTGGACTTATTGTCCAATGGAAGTAGTTACCTTTTTAAGTAATAAAATGAGAGTCCATGTATACATCTATTGAATGTTTTTTTTTAATACATAATAAATAAAAACCACTGTTTTGCAGCAAATAAAAATAGTAATGATTAAAGTAAGGAAACAACTGTTAAAAAGAGGTCGCGTCTTACTGTATTTTTTTGAAAGTCCTTACAAGTCAATAAGGAAAAACATTTTGAGTGAACACAGGAGAAAAGAAAACAAAAATACACTTCAAAATCCCAGAAATGTAATAGTTTAATATAGTCATTGTATTCAATTTTATTAGTAAGAAATATGATAGCTTATTTTTCAGTTATCACTCTTGCAGATATTAATAGTGAGTATTGGTAAAAGTGCAAGAAAATGGGTTGTCCTTGCTCAAGGGACTGAGTATTAAAACCATACAGTTGCAAACCACACATGTAAGAATCTCTATATTACACTAAATAAAATTCTCTAAAGAACCATAGTGTGGAAAATAGATTTAGCAAATATAAACAACTTGCAGAGAAAAAATGACAGGTGAAGGCTCATTGCACAGAAGGTCACACACAGTGTTTCACACCCAAACTGTCAACTCTCTAGGAACTATGGGAAGAGGTTTTGGCCAATAAAGGCTCACAGCTGAGTTCTTGTCTAGGAGCTCACCATTCCTGAAAAGTCTACCTGAAGCTACTTACTCTGCAGAGACAGGCAGATCTTTGGCATACCAATGGGCATGTGTCCATGAAGGTTAGCATCCCAGTTTCAGTTCTGGACCTCTCCTCCTGTTCAGCTCTAGTGGTCATCACGAGATTGTGTGAGACCTTTTGCAAGACCGTGATATGTTTGACTTCTCCATCTGTACAATCTTATTTCCTCACTTCCTTGCACGTGTTCTTCAAGAACTCAATAAACTTTCTATGGACAGATTTCCCTTAGTCTGTTTCCCAAAAATCCAACAGACACAACTGGTGTCAAAACTGGTTGAAGAGAAAAGCAGTACTGTAAATGTTTAACAAGTAGCTTTCTTTAAAAAATGACCCATGATTTGTAGCATCGGCATTGTCCAGTGTGTTATTACTCTTTCCTTGGGCACAGTGCTTGCTTGCAGGAAAAGTGGAGGTAGGAACTGGAGCTTAAATGTAGTTGAAGCTTTTGTGAGAAGAGAATGATCAGAGACAAGATGAGGATTACAATTAAGAAATACTGGTGAGACTTCTGGGGAACACGATCCTTCTACATAGTTGTGAGAATGTAAACAACCCAGTATATAAATCAGTGTGGACATTCCCCCAAAACTAGAAATTCCATTCATGTGTCCATTCAGCTGTTTTCTTTCTAGGTATCTTCCCAGAAAAGTTAAAGATATCATGTTACAATGATACGTGCATGCCCATGTTTAATAGCATCACAACTCATACTAGGTAAATCTTGGAAGCAGGCTATATATCTATCAACAGATAAGCGGATAAGGGAAGTGTGATATTTGTACACAGTGGAGAACTCCTCAACCATAAAGGATAAACATGAGTCATTTCTAGGAAAATGGATGCACTGTGGGACCACAGTATGCAGTGAAATAAATCAGACACATGAGATAAAACATGTTATACTTTCTCTTATATTAGAGATCCAAAATTTATTTTCTTCTTTTGTTTTTGGTACAGGGTCACACTACATGCAGCTCAGACTCATAGTGATCCTCCTCTTTTCAGCCTCCCCAACACTGGGATTACATTGTGTACCACCATGCCTGGTCTCCA